CCATTTTGGCGCGGTTCCACGCTGGTGCTGAAGACTTTGTGGCCAGGTTGGTGACCGTGGATGAAACGTGGATCCACCGTTATGATCCCCAGACGAAGGAAGGATCCAAAGAATGGCGCCATAGCGGGTCTCCCCGACCGAAGAAGTTCTGCGTTCAGAAATCGGCCGGAAAAATCATTGCTTCCGTGTTCCGGGACAAGGACGGTGCCATCTCGATAAAGTACCTGCCGAAGGGCCAGGGGATCAACGCCACCTACTTCTTGTCCCTATTACATGAATTGCGGGAAGCTCTGAAGGAAAAACGGCGGGGGAAGCTGAGTCGGGGGGTGCTCTTTCTGCAAGACAAAGCGCCTGCCCACACCGCCCACCAAACCACGCAGAAAATCAAGGATTTGGGGTTCGAATTGTTGGACCACCCGGCCTATTCGCCGGCCCTCGCCCCCTCGGATTATTATCTCTTCCCAGCGTTGAAGAAACACCTGAAGGGGACGAGATTTGCTTCTGATCAGGAGGTCATTGGTGCCGCAGAGATCTGTTTCGCGGACCAACCTAAGGAGTTCTTTTTGCGGGGGTTGCAAAAATTGGAGGAACGTTGTAACAGGTGTGTACAGTTGAACTATGTTAAATAAAAATAATTAAGTTTACCAAATTTGCGTTTTCTTCGTTTTCTTCTAGGAAAAGTCGCGAACTTTTCGGCTTCCCCTCGTATATATCGGGTCTTCGAAAAAAAAAATCTTTTTGCATATTTCGTCATATTTCTTTACCTTACGTCTTCGTCGGACCTCTTCAAAATTCTACCTGTTGCAGTTTCTCTCTTTTAGTAACTTTCTCTAATTTGGCAAAAATAAAAAATTGCAATCCACTAAATTTTGCAGCTTCATGCAATACATATTCTTTCGGTGCCCTTAAGAATATGTTCCAGAAATTTGACCTTTTTTCCTTCACGGCTTACATATATCGTGCAATACTTCAGTAATCAAGTGTTCCTTCCGATTTTTCACGTTCGGAGGAGCCGATCATCGTCACTTCTGCTCGGAGAGGAGAATTTGGGTTAATCTCCTGCGATATTGACCTGAAAACGGAGGAAGCCGTCTTCGAATCCCGTCGGAGCCTTCGATCAATTAAAGGGGAGCTCATCCGTCTCCATCCACGTCACGAGTCTCTTGGAATTTAAGGTCGAGACCGAGATTCTCGAGGGGGATGGGGATCAGCGAGGACTTTTTGGGTCCGAGGGAGCGAAATCGAAAACGACAGAGCGGGACTTGGCCCGAGACCGTTGTGTGACATGTTCATGTCAGATCACCGCGGTGTGATGTGACGTGTTCATGCCAGATCACCGCGGTGTGATGTGACGTGTTCATGTCAGATCACCGCGGTGTGATGTGACGTGTTCATGCCAGATCACCGCGGTGTGATGTGACATGAATTCCAGTGATGATTTTCGTACCATGCATCTAGCAAACTGAAACAAGGAAAAGTGGAAAATTTCGGCTTCTCATAAAAATTTGTTGAGTAAGTCACGTTTTGTCAAAACCATCTTGATTGCCATATCCAGGTGATGGAAGGTCGGGGCACGGGCTGTCATCAGAGAGAAACGCAAGCATATTTAGGTTTATCAAGAGCCTTTCACAAAGCCCGGTGACGTACGAGGGTCACTCAATGAGTTATCTACCTGAATAAGAAAGAAATATCCGAGGGGAAAAATAACACTTTATTTTTCAATGTAGTCACCTTTTAACTCAACACACTCATTCCACTTTGATTCCAAGGATTTTATTCCCTGGGAATAGAAGTCAATTTCTTGTCCATCAAATCAATCAGAAACGGCAACTTTCAGCTCTTCATTGCTTGAAAATATTTTTCCCCGCAATAATTTTTTCAAGTGTCTGAACAGAAAATAGTCACTAGGAGTCAGATACGGGCTGTAGGGAGGATGGTTGGGCTCCTGAAAGCCACACTCCCTCACTGCTGCATGAACTTTCCATAATTTGTGGACGGGCGCGTTGTCATGGAGAAGAGGGACCCCGCTTGACAACTTTCCTCTGCGTTTTTCCTCGATGGCATCATGTAAAATTTTCATTGCGGTAGCATAGGAATCGCCAGTGATTGTACACTTGTCTGGCATGAACTCAAGCAACAGTAGTCCCTCGCTGTCCCAAAACACAGTGGCCATAATCGTTCCTGCAGATTTCTGAACACGAAATTTGCGAGGCGTTGGCGATCCCTTGGGCTTCCACTGCATGGACTCCTGCTTGGTGTCGGGATCCTAGTGATGAATCCAAGTTTCATCACCAGTTACTTTTCTGGGAAAAAAAGTTTCCCCGATTTGTTTAGAAAACTCCAAGTTTTCCTTGCAGATGTACATGACACAGACTCAGGAAAAGAAATCTAATGCGCTACCACTTTGAACGGACTTGAGCCACTGAGCTGGTATAGTGGTGGGGCACTCACGAGACCTGTCGAGACATGTCACAGCAGGCACAGGCCTGCTTCTCATTCCTTTGATATTCAGGTAGATAACTTATTGAGTGGCCCTCGTACCTTGGTTAATCCTCAGATGTGGTTATTATTTCTTGGAATATTATTCATGGCTACGGCTTTTTCCTTTGACGTACAACTTTGATTCTTAGACTCTGGGATGCACTTAAGCGGTGAGGGTGCGATTGAATCAAAGATTTATCTGGGGAAAAGGGCTTATGTGCAAAAGGCACATTTCGAGGAATGCAGAAGATTCTCCTCAGGGTCCATTTGCGACTGATCTGGATCCAGTTTTCAGTGATATGGTATCCAAAAACTTTGGGCTGAAAATATATTTTCTCTCAGAGTTCCCAAAATTCAGACAGAACCTGTTCATGTACATACTCCGCTTTTCCAGTTATTCTTTCGGTAGTCATTTTTAATATAAAAGTAATAATTTGCCTCTAAAATTTGCCATAAGGTTAAAATAAAAAGAAACCTCTTCCACTAAGACAAGGAAAACAGGAGCATTCGGAAAGCTTTCATGGCAGTCCTGATCTTCCCTCAAATCATTACCATTATTCCGTTTTCTTCTCCTTTCCTCCCCACAAGCGATCACGAGGCTGCTGGAAACCTGCCAAGTGGAAGCATGGAGAAAATTTATTTTCCCTTACTACAAACACATTCGAAACACCTCAGTATCACTCCTTCCCATTGCAAGTGTCCTAAAAAAAAAAAAAGCGCACGAGCAAGGATACAGAAATAGGTCGTATGGGCACTAATGTCCTTTTTCCAGAGAACCCCACAATTAAAGACAGGCGAGTTACGAAGTTGGCATACCCAATTACATTCGATGTGCTGTCAGAACTTTTGGTTCTTTTCAGGCTTCTTCAGGATATGAATATCCATCAGAACAAAAGGACTCTTCTATGTTCTCTTTTTTTTTTCTCGCCAACCTGCACACTCGCTTCATCACTTACACTTTTTTTTTTAACAAAAGTCGAAAAAATCTCAATCACTGTACAGTATTCCCTGATTCGATTTAAGCAAAAGTACTAATTTCTCCTTGTCAGATTTATATCGAGAACTCACGACGGAGGGGAGTAACATACTTGTTGAGGCTCTAATGACGAGGATGGATGAGACTGGCTAGAGTGAATTACTCCAAAAAGAGAGAGAGCAAGTCAAGGAAGAGTAATATCCATTACCCGATTCCAGGAAAGGGGGAGGAGATAGAAGTTTTTTTTTTTCTTGCTTCCACCTCCCCTTTTTCTCTAATTCGTAGGGTACTGGAAATAGAGTCGTTGGAAACGAGAAAGGAAAATGTTCTTCTTATCGTAATCCACATCGTCTGCTATCAAGTCCAGATAAAGTGGAGAGTGGCCCAGGGGAGAAGAGAACTCGTTCGTATAAACGGGAACTGTGATGAAAGTTGACCCGTAGAATGAGAACGGTTTTCCGGCCACCTCTTGAAAAGCTAGAGGGAACATCGCTCCCACTATCTTTCATCACTGAGGAAGCTATGGAATAACGGCGTTCAGATTAAATTTAATATAGACGTTACGGGATTTCTGTCGGGATCATTTCTCTTGCCCTAATGAATGGGGCGCCGATTACTGGGGTTTGGATAAACCAAAGCTGACTGTGCTATAAAAGTCCCTCATGCCAAGTTCTTCGTTGCAATCTTTGACCAGAGGATCCATACCAACAATAACTACACAACCGAGATTTAGCATGATAAGACTTCCAAACAGGGCAAGTTGGTTGTGTTAGGGGTTGTCTAATATGAAATGCATGGATGTGAATGAATGAAACAATGTGTATATGTTGAAGAATGGAGGTCTCTTGCCGACAAAAAGACATACACTGATCAGCAGCAATGAAAAAAAGTGAAATCACTGAAATATAATATATACTGGTACATTAGTAGAATTTAGTTAAGGATGTCCTTGAGTTTAACTATGCCAAAGAGTCAACAAATCTCTTGTAATTGGTCTCATAGTACTTCTCAATAGGTTGTAGCTCTCCCATGAGATAATCGTTGAGGTAGAGAGGGACCAAGCACTCCAAGCCATGCTCATGCAGATAGGCAATGTCAATTGGTTCCTTGCACTCTGATGGCTTCTCTACAAACACGTGAGTCACACCCTCAATGTCACGATATGGAGGTCTGGAACAAACAAACAAGAGTATATACCTGTCTGTTAGGATACCCATTTGAAACATTTTCATGTAGATCCATTTCTGAATCACAGCATGAGCATTTTTCAGTTATCATTGTATGTGGTAAAAATCTTTTACGAAAAATAAGATTCTTGCAAGGCACAAGCCTTATGTGCTTCTTGGAGTGGAGAAAACTCACTTGGCAGAGGAGACTTGACCCTTCCCAGCCATGAGGAAGCGAGTGAAAGCTTCTCGACGGTGTGGAGGTGTATGGATGATTGCTGTGATGTGGGAGAAAGCGCCTGACTTCTTCCCTGACTGAATCTCCTGCCGCCATCGTTGAGCTGCTCGACTTCTCCTTCTCTCATCATCTGAGAGCTCTGGAAATGCTTGGAACATTTCCTCACTTCCCCACTCAAATTCCTCTTCCTGCAATAGGCACATACTCAACAATTATTTGCTGGGTAGCTGGAGAAATGAGAAATGGGTAAGAAGATTTCATACTGGCAGAAGTCTGTCAGCAGCAATGGAAGCATTGATGTAGTGAGCACCAAGGACCCATTTCCCAGCTGCTATGCATGAGAGAACCTTCTCATTTCTCAAAGGGCGTTCTGTGATGAGGTGAGTTGCAGCTGGATCATAATTTCCACCCTCACTCACCATAGCACCAAACTTTTCCAGCACTGATTTATACCTCTCCCTCTCCTGCATATGAGGAAGAAAAGTGAAATGAAAATTGAAATTACAGCATGTGAAAATTGTTCTGAGAAAAACAGCAAAGGGATGATGGTGGTGACCTGATCATCTATGCGAGAAAACATGAAGAGCTTGGGCTGGGAGGTGTGGAGAGGAAGTTCTTGACTCTGAGTTGCTCCTTCATTTTCAAAGTACTCCAGGAGTTTTTCCTTCTGCTTACGAGCCACTGGATCATCCCAAGTCACACCTTGGCACTCATCAATTGATGCTCCATTTTGGGCTAGAAAATCCAATCCATGAATTCAATCAGAGCATCAAGGAAAAGAGGATATGATTGGGAAACTCACGTTTATCACCAGTGCTTAGCTGCTCTGGATGCTGCTGCACGGCTTCAGCTGTGGGAGGAGGAAGGGTCCCACTGCTCCCCAGTCTTCTCACTTTTGTCCATTCTATTGGCTGCTTGGTGATTCTCTTCAGGTCTTCTAAGTGCCTGATGCAAAATCAACCCATTGCTTTCTGGCTGCATGAGCACTGAGGATGTTGAAGAGCATGCAATTCACCTTTCAAGGACTGAGGAAGATGACTTATCACTTTGGGGTTCCTCATCTGCTAAAGAGACATCAGCAGCAGCTGTTTTCTCCATCTTCTTAGTCATCTGGCAAGGGGTGCGAGGGATTCGGGAAACCGACAGCTGTGATGCAGGAGTGGCACTGGTGGAGGAATAGGGGAAGAGGAGTTCATCGGCACGAGACATTTCCTTTGCACACGTTGTGACCCATTCAGGAGAGACGACAAATTTCTTCCCTTCCCTGGCCTGCTTTAACACCTTGGCATTACCTCTTCCCTAGAACATCAGGAAAGGCTTGCAGAAAAAGATTCATACCTTCAGTATCAATCTTAACTGAGATAGAAAAGGAACCTGGAAGACAAGATGGGTGACTTGATCATCATACTGATGCTGGCATTTCCCACCTAAACTATCCACCATCTCATAAAGTTCACTCTCCTTGTCTAGATCAGCAGACTTGAGCTGAACATGGATTACAACACCAGCCAAAGGGGCAGTTTTGGCATCTTTCTTCTTTTCGGCTCTCTGAGAGTCCTGCAGCACACAAGAGCACAAAATATGACAAGAAAAGAACAGAACTTGAACAAAAAGAAAGAATACCATTCTGACAAAAGAAGAAACAATTACACTAAGAGAGTTTAAGGATGACTAAGAGCAGTGCCAAGAAGGGCAGATAGTCATAATCAACCTTTAAGGGTTCACAGGCACACTGCTATGTGATGCCCCAGAGTACAAAATGTCTAAGCCTGAGCCATAGTGAATGCAGAATGATTAACAGAATTGTCACTGACCTGGGTCAATTTCCGCTTCTCCATCTCACGATCTATGGCCTTACAGAACTTATCCTTGACACGATCAAGATGTTCAAATGCCTCATTCTCCAACTGTTCCATAGATGGCTTTGAGGGACAAAAAATAAAATTTTTTCTGGTCCAGTTCTAGATCAGTCAATTTCTAATACATTATAGCTATAGTAGTTAACAGACAACTCACAGGATAATGATAGTCAAGAAGCCTCTTCAGTCTCTTTTCTGGTGGAGTAGGAAGTGGAGGGGCAGCATTGACTTCCAACTCAAAAAGTTTCCTCCTCCGGGGAGTAGGGAAGTGATCATTTAACTTTCCCAAGTCAGGAGTCTTAGTCTTAGCAAGGTAGAGTTTCACCTCAGGGTCATCCAGATCTCGTTTCCATAGTGGTGTTTTACGCTCCACCCTGAAATACAGGTTACAAAGGTTGTGTTACTACCTTGTAAATGATTGAAGAAACAATTTCCAGTTCCTAATCCTCACTTCAAGGCTTGTCGAACAATGGGTGGAGTCTCCCAGTTCCTAGGACGCATGGACACTATGGGACCATCATGTGCATTAGTACTAGTGAGTGAGGGGGATGCTCCTGAGACAGATGTCTTGCGTGTGGCTTGAGGAGCTGGGGTTGCTATCACCATTTCATCATCCTTTTCTACATTATCTGTAAGTGGCATGCAGGATAAAAAATAATGAACCACATAGATAGGTGACTCATGCAGCCAAAGCAGTGAACATCTATGAAATCTCCATGAAATAAAACATTAAGGGTTCAAAATTGAGGGCTTGAAAAACTTCAGAACATGGCAGCCTCTCTGTGATGCTGCATAATTAAGACTATCAAAGCTGGCACATAAGCCAAGGGGCTGGCAGTAAGGATTCTATAAGCTACAAGCTATAATAAAATATCCCTTTCATGCATGTCCACTGTAGTGGACAGCAATAATTTTGGCTATGATGATGGCTTTTCAGCAATGGTGCACAAGCCTCAAAACTTTTGGTGCATGCAGTTCACCCCAGGGCTCATAATCTAGTGTTGCTTTCTAGAGGTGGAATGTGCAACTACTACAGAGTACCCTCTTAAATGTAAAAGAAAAAAAGCATATTTTGTTTTGCTCTAAAAATTCATGCATGAAAGGGATATCAATGTCCAAAAAACTTACCCAAAATAATTGCAAGAAATAAAAAATTTTTTAAAATGAGGATGGTGATACATAGAAGAAAAAATTCATCCTCATGATATAACCAAAGACTGGAGTATCTCTTAACCTCTGAAGTGAGTATGACATATATATCCTTAAGGGCAAAAAGTTCCCATGAAAGGTTTCACATATGTATATGTCCAACAAATTTTCAAGTTTGAGTTAAATATGAACTTGAACCTTGAAGTAGAATAAACTTCTGCTGATCTCAAATGAAATGGTTACAGAATGTAGCACAATATCCTGCTGGACATGTCATCCACAAAAACATGGCAAAACTTTACCATGAAGAATCAGGCATGTGCAAAAGAAAACTGCAAGGAACACCAACATCTAGTACTATTGTACTGCCTGTTGGACAAGGCTGGAAGGACAAGAAACATACAGAACAATGCATATATTGTAATTATGAAATGTGCCTACTGTGTAGAGTGGATTCCCCTTTCTCCTCTTCTTCCTCCTCATCATCCTCATCAAATGGTTCAGCCATACCAGGTGGATAATCAGATTCAGGGATTCGAATACCATGTTGAGCACATGCCAGGATCCACCACCCACTCACACAGATGACACCCCATTTTTTTGCTGCCTCATATTTGGGGCCTTCAGGACTCAAGCACACCAAATGTGTATTTGCTCTGAGCCCAATGTCTGGCTTGTCTCTTCTGGTCAGCTGTTCCTGGGTTCTAGAAAAATTTCAACCAAGAAAAACGCTCATCATTAAAAACAAAACCCACTAACAATGAAGAAGAGTAATTATGAACATACCTGGCACCAAGAGCCTGAAGAGCTTTGGTAAGAAAAACCCTCTCACAGTCAGAGTATAGACTGAGTGTAGCAATACATTCTCTCAATGGGGAGTCTACATCAGCTTTCATTTTCACTGGCTTGTGATAGTATGTAACATCTAAGACTTGCTGGGCATTCATGCAATCATCCTGGGATATTTCAGAGAAACAAAAGGAAGTGAGGTTGAGGACACTTCATATTTCAGATGAACAAGATAAACAGCACAATATGGCTCATTTACAATGAAGAGGCTTGTGACAACATCAAAGGCTTGGACTCTCTCCTTTATGCCTAAGAAAGGTACAACTGCATAGTCAGTCTTGTTGTTATAGTGGGGGCTCACAAGGCCACCATTTTGTAGGATGCTTTTCTTCACACTTTTTGCTTCATCTGAATTGAGGCCCATGATTTGGAAAGTGAGTCCTGCAAGCAAAAAGAACAGACCCATTTACACTCTGAGTTCAGGCAAAAATTATTGTGATTATACTGCATCAACATAAATAGTATCAGAAGGCAGCCAAATACTTATTTGATTTACCATTGAAGATTTGAGAAACAGCTCCCACATCAAAATGAACTTCCTCAACAATTGTCAATTCCTCTCCAGTAGTCTCTTCCCCCTTAGTGCTTCCTGCATCTGAAAACAAATGAAGCTGCTACATTCTTACTCTGAAGGCAGAGCAAAACAAGTGATATTGAATCTCACCATATCTAGATTTAATGGACTCTCCCCCAGCATCAATGTATTGCAAGAGGAGACTCTCATCTTCAAGTCCCATGCTTCCCACACCAACCTTTGCCTTTTTCTGTGAAAAGAGATTTTCTTTTGATATACCAGTAGGTATAGCCACTAATGAAATAAGAAAACAAAAGGTCTGAAAGTGAGATGCAGGATCACCTTGGATGGTGGCTCAACAACTGTGACTTCAGCTGGACTGGCCGATGATATTGAGAACTCGTTTTCATCTAGATGTCTCTTGCTTTTGCAGCACTCCACAAGCCATTTTGCATCAACAATATGGCATCTAAAAAACAAGAAAAAAACACCTGGTCTTCATACAGTCCTACATCTGGAATTTATAGCACTTAAATAGCTGAAGACAGGAAGCACTGCATCATTGCTCATGAAACAGGGTGCTTCTTATAAGAAGATAAAACACTTTGCTCCTTGGATAGAAGCCCTTCTTTTGGGCTTACCCAAATTCCTTGCGTCGCAACTGCTCAAGAAATGTTTCATCCTTTCCAGCAAGGACAACATGTGAAAGACCAGGGGAAGGATGCTGGTAAAGCAAGCCACCTGCAGTGACAAGAATCTTCTTCACTTTTTCCATGAGACTTGGATTGAATCCATGGAGATGGATCTTGCAGCCATCAAGGAAGAATCCTCCTTTGCGAATCTCCTTCAAATCAGGGAATTCCCAGTCTTCACTGGTTTCAGGTTCTGTTGATAATACAGCAGGTCACATGAAAACAAACTGAACCTAAGCATCACATCATTTTTTTCACATTTTAGTTGTGAACAGCAAAAGGTATGAAGGGAAAGGAATCTCACGTGGTCTCTTGAATGGAATGACAGGTGGAATAATCATTGATGCAGCTGACATTGTCTCATCCACATATCTGGTACTCTTTTGAGTGTCAGCTGCCACTGAGATACAGGATACATCAAAATCCATCAGTCCTAGGAATCCAAAGATTACCATTTATTTTGTCCACCAATACCTTTGGAATCTAGGCAGAATTCCTATTGTGAATATTTCCTTATCTGGGAAATTAGTTCTGGTTAGAGCAGCTGGAACAAAAGATGTTTAAAATATCTGTAAACTTACTTCAGCAATCTATCTATCTGACAGGAGAAATTAAAAGAAGCTAAAAATGACAGGCACTAAAGCAGTGTAAGTAAAAGATATGCTCTTCCTGCGAAGGCGACAAATAGGAATTTCCCGGAAAGGATATGCCAACGAACTAAGTGGACCGCCCCCCCCCCCCCCTATACCAGTTATGAAAAAAATTCCAGTCAATACATTTTTAAGAGCGGTCTTTCACTACTAGGTCCTCCTCCATGGATGAAAAGTTGGACGGGACATGAAGAAAAACTACGGATGTCTCTTCGTTTCTTCTAGTCATTCAGCTAACAGACACAATTAGAAATGGGCGCATGAGTGATTTTCGCCCCACGATCACGAGAAGAAAGCCATGTAGTCACTCACTTTCATGCAAACCCATGATTCAATATCATTTGATAATATCACTGACACGCACCATCATGGCGACTGTGTATTGAACTCACGCGTGATTCCGCGCAAGTTGTCACGCGTGAGAGTCGGGCTCTTCCTTTCCCATAAAAAAACTATATTTAAAAAATACTTCATTCAGATAGGCCTATTGTATTGAAAAAAATTGGAAATAGAACAAGAAATTGTATGGTAGCTGGATGGCACCTGATTCACGTGGTGGTTACTTATTCGCAAATTCACAGACAGAAAAATAATGTCCAAACTTTCAGGCGATCTTGTCACGTTGCAGATACTAGGCTGTACAATGGCTGAACTGAGGAAATCAGCTCTCAGACGACGAACAAGAGGGAGTTTAAATAATTTATTTGGTTTCTCCATAGTGCTAAGGAAAAAAAAAAAACTCATCTTCATTCACGATAACGATGAGTGCCTTCGCAGAACCTCGGCGCGAGTAACGACTCGTGAGTCACGCGTGAAACGTTACTTACGCACACCTCTACTTACAACTGAAAAGTCCAGAAGTCCAGACGGAGTTTACAGATTTCATGGAATGCGGTTTTTTTCACCACTAGCACCACTGACATCATCATGCTACAACTCCATCACAATGCGCTGGTGTGGAAAGATGGAGATGGAAGACGAAGAGGGAATGGAACTAAAGGAGTCAAAGTATGTTTCTGCTCCTTTTAGCGCAATAAATTGAAGCAAATAATGTGTAAACTCTGCCGTCGGCAACCTTTTTGCCTTCTTCGAGTCGTTCAATTCTTCAAAAATAATTTCAGTATTTGATATTCTCACTATCTCACGTGATAAAGCACAATATGAGTATTTCAGGTACTAGTACGATAGAGGCATACGTACGGTCGAGCTTCACAAAGCATATTCGAGATGACATAAGGATCGAGTGATCCTAATTCACTAGATCGAGCCTCGACCTCTCGACGACATGCAAGATTCGGCGGGGTTCGTGCTGTATTCACGCTCTCGTTAGCCTTCAGAGAATAGCTCAGCAGGCTTCACGGTTGAGGCTCCAATCATACTCGGGAAATGAAAAGATAATACTGCTGTCGCTCCTCGACGGAAAGACTGGAGACTAGCAAATGTCGTACCGATCTTTAAGAAGGGCGAAAAGAGTAATCCTGGAAATTACAGGCCGGTAAGTCTCACGGGTATCCCAGGGAAGATCATGGAGAGCATCCTAAGGGACCATCTCTTGGATTTCCTCGAAGGAACGCGCTCATTCGGGACCCTCAACATGGCTTTAGGAGGCGTCGAAATTGTCTCACCGATTTGCTCGAATTCTACGACTGGGCGACGGAAGAGAGGGATAAAGGGAATCCCGTGGACATCGTCTATTTAGATTTCGCGAAAGCTTTCGATACCGTTCCTCAC